GCTGGCCGCAGCCGCACAGTGGGCGCCCTGGGCTGGGCCATGGCCCCCTGGCCCCCGATGCTGTCTGGGAGTCTCGGGCCACCTGCTCGGGCCTAGTCCCAGACCAGTAGCGGTAAACCCGAACTGGCTGGTGCTAGAGGGGCCAGAAGTTAAGACGGGAGCAGATGGAGGCAGCGGGGGACGTGAAGGCTGGTAAAGGCCCCAAAAGGCATGTTGCAGGGGCAGGGAGCGGTCCCGGCCTCAGCCCAAGGCAGCAGCATGGTGGCAGTGAGGCAACCCAGCCCTGGGTAGTCCTGGGGGACCTGGCCCTGCCCACCCACGGGGCCCTTCTGGACAGGGAGCTGTCATGGCGTCCTCCGGGGCAACATTAGACGGACCCAGAACTGGTTCCGGGGGAGGCCGGGAGCACTACAGTAACCGCAGACGTGAATGCGTATCTGGCCCCGGCCCCTCCCATGGGATGGAAACAGTGGTGGTGTCTGGGCTGGCTGTCCTCTCCCGGACACACGGTTTAGTGGAAGGCATTTGGTGGAGAGCCCCATAGCCTCGTGATTAAGAGTCAGATCTCCCGTGGCCATGTGGCTCAAGTCCCAGACCCAGCAGCTTGAAAAACACGCTGGGCCCACGTGCGTGTGGACCCAGAATCCTTAGAGGAGAATGGAGAAGACATTGTGGAGTGTTCCCCCTCACCCCCGTGGGTGCTTCCCACCCTTCTCTCCAGCAAACACACACACCCTATAGCAAATGTAACCAAAAAAAAAAAAACAAACAAACCCTGGAAGGAGTGGAGAAGACAGGAACGGCGAGGAGCAGGTGGCTGTGTGTCGTACGCCCCTCCGGGATCTGGCAGGGTTCTTTAGGATTGATGGACGTAGTGGCCGTTCTGAGTGGTTACCTCAGGGACTAGGGTGGAGATGTTTACTTTGTATTTTCTGTTCATCCGTGTCCTTTAAAAATGATGGAGCCATGTATGTGTGTTACTGTTGAAGTAAGAAAATAAATGGGGGAGAAGCAAGTGGCTTAGTGATTAAGGTGCTGGGTTTCCACATGGCCGACTGTGGTTCAAGTCCCAGACCCAGAGGTTTGAAACTCACTCTGGGCACATGTGAGTGAATGCCCAAAATCCTGAGGGAAGACCGGAGAAGGGATTGCGGAATGGCCATCCCTCGGGGGTAATCTCTCACTTTCTCTCTGGCAAATGCACACACCCTATAGCAAAAATCTCCCTAAAATATAAAAATAATAATAATAATAAAAGAGAAGAAGAAATTAAAAGAAATTAAGGGGTGAGGAGAAAAACATTTTTTTTTTTTTTTGTCGGAGGGCACATGTGCTCACAGGAGAGATAAAGAGAAGGCAAATGAAACAGCACCCACCGTCAGAGATGGCACGCTGCAGCCCCTCCTCCATTTTCCTCTCCTTTTGGGGGGCGCACACATGTACCTAATGTGTTTCTCAGGTCACCAGATCCAGGCCACGTGGGATCCAGTCCCCTTCACCACCACGCCACTGGTTGGCCTGGTAGTATCTTTTAAGTTAATTTTTTGTCTTGCGAGTCAGGGAGACAGGTACTCCTTTGGGGTCTTCACGCCATGGTTCCCCCAGCTTTAGCCAGCCCTGAATCCCGGGCTAGCACATAGTGGCCTGTTCAGGGAGGTCTCCAGATGGGATCCAGGAACTCCCCATGTGGGCAGCCTCGCAGGGGCGGGTTGCTGCTATGGCTCCAGCCAGCCTCTGAAAGCTTACCAATGCCTGCTGGTAGCTGATCAGGGTGCAGACCGGCCCGTGAGGTGTGGTCTGGGGTACGCTCTGCACCCCCTCCCACAGGGGCACCGGCACTGGCTAACAGGATGGCGTTTGCTGCTCAGAGCTAGGGCCGTCTTCCTCTTGGAGCAGTTCTCGAAGGCCAAAGAAAGCAGCAGACTCCCTTCTGGAAAATCCTACTGAGCACAAAGTCATAACATGGTCCCCCAAACAAAAGAACCTGGAACCGGTCCAGGCTGCGTCTCTGTGGTGAAGCTGCCCCAGGGCCATGCGGGTGAGGGGACAAGGGTTTATTTTAACCCCTGCTTGGGTATAAGCCCTCGGGCACTTGGTAATGCCTCGTCCCGTTGACTTTAAGCCTCACGGTTGTCTCACATGCCCAGGTTCCTGGGCTCGTCCGCAGGGTGAGGTGGCCTGCCCGGGCTCACTGGTCCCTCGGCCTGCTCAGTGCTGTGTAAGGTGTTGGCACACCCGCTGGGCATCGGCCGCTGCAGCTCCAGTCCAGGGCACGCTGCGGAGTGGCTTGGCCCTGCCCAGGCCACTGACCCTGGCCCCAGCCCCGCTGACCCTCTCCTGTCTCGCAGGTGCACTCGCCACCACTGCCGACCGCCATGGGCAAGCAGAACAGCAAGCTGCGGCCCGAGGTGCTGCAGGACCTGCGGGAGAACACGGAGTTCACTGACCACGAGCTGCAGGAGTGGTACAAGGGCTTCCTCAAGGACTGCCCCACCGGCCACCTGACCGTGGACGAGTTCAAGAAGATCTACGCCAACTTCTTCCCCTACGGCGACGCCTCCAAGTTCGCCGAGCACGTCTTCCGCACCTTCGACACCAACGGCGACGGCACCATCGACTTCCGGGAGTTCATCATCGCGCTGAGCGTGACCTCGCGGGGCAAGCTGGAGCAGAAGCTCAAGTGGGCCTTCAGCATGTACGACCTGGACGGCAACGGCTACATCAGCCGCAGCGAGATGCTGGAGATCGTGCAGGTGGGCGCCGGCGTGGCCCTGCCCCCGCCCGCCCGGGACCCGCCACGACGTCTGGCCACGCTTGGCACTTTTTAATTTTAATTTATTCGTTGTCATTATTTAATTTAATTTTTTTAAAGTTGTCCAGAGAGAAAGACAGAGAGAGAGAAGAAAAATGAGAAAGCAAGCTGCCAGGTCTAGGATTCGAACCATGGCCAGCCATGTGGGAGTCCAGCTGCCTTAACCACCACGCCACCTGTTGGCCCCACTCTTGGCGCTTTTGAAAGTGAGCAGGCGTCACCTGGTCGGGGGTCTTTAAACAAATAGTGATGACAGAACCATGGTGACAGACCCCTTGCTGTTTCACCCCAGGGCTGAGCACACGGACCGTTTTCATCTTCATGACCCTGTGAAATGTCGTTCTCGCCCTTTCCCCAAATCTGAAGCTCAGAGAAGTGATTTTCTAAGAACTAACAGAGCTGAGGATTTTGAGGGGACTTCAAAAAGTTCATAGGAAAATGGAATTAAAGTATGAGTTTATTTTCAGACCCTTGCGTAAGTTTTTCATGATAAGGGTTTCCCGTGAACTTGTTGAAAACTCCTTGTGTCATTGCTGGAACCCTTAGCACCTGTGAAAGGAGCCGGCCAGCCGCGGGAAGTCCTGTATTTAGAAGTCAGTAACTAGCTTGTAAGGCCCAGCCGCACACCGCACCTCCCATGCAGGTGCGTTCCTGTCACCTGGCATGGGAGGGCGCCCCCGTGCCTGTCTATGGTTCCCACAGGTAAGGCTGTTTTCCAGAAACAGCCACTTGCCAGGTGCCTCGGAGTGCCACGGAGAGTGGCAGGCCACGGGGTGGCCTCCTCCTGGTAACTCCACATGCGCTGCCCCAAGGCTGGGGCTCGTTCTCAGGAGAGACAGCTCGTGTGGAAGGAACTTCAGGACTGAATCCCATGGCCTGGTCCATCCGTGACCCCACAGTAAGCACTGGCCTCGGGGCACCAGCTCATCTCCCGGAGAGCTGTTGTCACAGTGAGAGTGACCTGGCTGGGCCTGGGGGGCTCTGGGACTCTCGTCCCCTCCTGGCTCTGAGCTGAGGTGGTGTGGAAACTGCTTCCCAGAATCGCAAGTCCTTGCCCTCACCCGCACCTGGCGTGCAGTCACTGGCCGAGTGGAGTGGCTGGGCCCCGTTCAGCGCAGGGGGGAGCAGCCATCTTGTTCAAATGGGATCTGGCTTTCAGGCTCTCAAACCGAGTCTCCGGACCCCGAAAGGCGTCCCCTGCACCCGGAGTGCAACCTGTTTGCAGAGTGTCTCCACGCGTGCCCAGTGCTGCAGTCCGTACACGGATTCGTGTGTTAAGTTCTCCAGGACCTCCAGGAGCCTGCGAGGGTCTAGACTTTGCAAGGCCCAGCCTCAGGAAGGTTCCTGAAACCCAGGACGTCCAGGGTGTGAGGGGAGGGGAAGGGGCCAGGCCCGGCCAGGCTCCCCTGCACATGGGGATGTGCAGGGCGGGGTGGGGGGGTATACTGGACGGCAGAAACCTTGGAGTTCTCCTTTTTTTTTTTTTTAATTTTTTTAGAGAGAGATTTTTGCTATAGGGTGCATGCACTCGCCAGAGAGACAGAAAGCAAGAAATTACCTCCCAGGGGAGATGGCTACACTGCAATCCCTTCTCCTCTATTCTCTTGGATCTTGGGCACACACATACCCCCAGCGTGAGTTTTAAGCCACTGGGTCTGGGACTCGAACTGTGGTTATGTGGAAGTCTAGTAACATAGCCATTACTCCATCTGCTGGTCCCTGAAATTACTGAGGGGAAAAAAAAAAAGAGAAAGGATTGTGAGAAAGCACCCCCTATGGGGAGTGGTCACACCATAATTCCCCTCTCCCTCTCCCTCCCGTCAGGATTTGGGGCACGCGCACACATACCCATTGTGCTTGTTAAGCCCTAGGGTCCAGGACTTGAACTGCGCCATTGGCCACCAGAGATCCTGCCACCGTAACTACCAGGCCATGGGGCCAGCCCAGCTTCTCATGTTTGAAATGCCTGGCTTTTAAGACATGATGGTTGTTCTTGGTCTGTTGTTTTAACCATGGAAATCACTCAAGCTGCTGCCACAGGGAGTGCTCAGAAAACCCCTCCATGGCACCGCCCGCTCCCTGCCCTGCGTGCCGCTCTGACCAAGCTGCCGGTCGCTGGCCTCTGTGCCACCCCGCCCCACGTGCAGACATCTGCCTGGTGCACACAAGCACCTGCCTGGACAGGCCACTCGGATAGCAAGCCAAGAGAAGGAGCCCTCGAGGGCATGAGGGCAGCACACCAGTGGAGGTCCCACCATCTGGCCTTGGAGACCCTGTGCCACCCCATTCCTGGGCTTCCTGGGGCTGGTTATGCCGTTCTTTCTGAGTTTCCAGGGCTCAGTCTTATTTAAGTTAGGTCTAACAGCCATCTAGCAAACCACACACAGCTCCGCAGACAGTATGGGGACGCTTACATGTGCTTGCCCCCGACCGCCACCCTCACTAGGGGCGTCCTCGACCCCCACAAGGCCCCACCCCTCCTCCCAACCCAACCAGGGAGAGCCGTACCTCACGCCATCATGGCTGCCGTCTCTTGCCGACACTTGCACCGCCTCCCTTCCTTTGCCAAACGTCCCATCTGTGAGAGTCGCCCGAGTGTAGCGAGTAGCTGGGAGTGTCCTCCTGACCAAAGCGTCCGAAGGTGGCAGGCCAGCGCCCTGACCTCTCTGTAGCTGTGGACGGGCTGGAAGTCGCACTGTGGTCCCTGAGCACGCTGCCCTGTGCCCTCCCTGCAGGCTATCTACAAAATGGTGTCCTCCGTGATGAAGATGCCCGAGGACGAGTCCACTCCGGAGAAACGGACGGACAAGATCTTCAGGCAGATGGACACGAACAATGACGGTAGGGGGGCGCTGCCTGCCGTCTGCTGCGGGGGCGGGGATAGCTGCCTGCACCCCCTGCCCGGGTGCTTCTCTGCCGAGAAAGGACAGGACCTAGTCAGGGCCACCTGCCGCATCCTGGCTCCCTCCTCGTGCCATCATGACCCGGGCGTGTCGCTGGCTGGCCCCTCTGTGCATGGTCTCCCAGAAGCCCCATGGGCATATTTGGGGAGGGGAGCAGGCATGCTGGTGGCCCCCAGGGCCAGATGGGTTGGAATTAAAGGGCCTGGTGGTGGGCCCTGGGCTGCTGGCTGCGGCCCTCCTGCCCAGTGGTCTGGAGGACCCAAGCAAGAGGAGGCAGCTGGGAGACTGGATGATTCAGCCCAGTGGGTGCTGGCTTGGGGGCCCCTAAGACGTCTCTGGGCTGGGAATGTCCCCCAGTGCCACCTGGTGGCTCGCTGGCTTTGAGGAGCTCAGCCGCAGATCAGTTCGGACTTGCTGTTGAGCAATAAAGAACTGTGACGTGTGGGGAGACGACTCCGGGGCTGTTCTGTGGAGTAGACAGGCTCGCGCACGAGGAAGCCTGGAGCTGCCGCGCAGGGGCAAAGACCAGCCTGGTGGGAGGAGGGCGCCGGGTCACGCAGGAGCCGCAGGTCGTGCGGGCACAAGAGCTTTCCTAACACATTCACACGTGAACCACGGCCCCGTGTGCAAGGTACAGCGGGATCGCGATGACCGGCAGTGAGTCTGGGCCCTCCTGAGCCTCGGTTTGCTGCTCCGCGAAACAGGGACGAAACCCAATCTCACGTGGTTGTGAGGGTCCCTGAGAGTCCTCATAACAAGACGCTAAAGCTTCTTTTTATTTTTTTGGGTAATTTGCCATCAGGCATGTGCACTCACCAGAGAGAGGCAGAGACAGAGACAGAGGGAAAGTGAGAAAGCCCCCCCCCCAGTGGGGATGGCCATGTCACAATCCCTTCTCCATTCTCTTGGGATTTGGGGCACATGCACCTGGCATGTTTCCCAAGCTGCTAGGTCCAGGACTTGAACCACATAGTCAGCCATGTGGGACCCAGCCCCCTAACCACCAAGCACCAGCTGACCCAAAGCCTGTAAGGGTCTTAACACAGAGCTTGGTACTCCTCCAGTAGTGGCTGCTGTCCCTGACCTCAGTGTCCAAGGTCAGTCACCCATGACACCCACGACCACCCACAGCCACCCACAACATCCATGACACCCACGACCACCCATGACCACCCACAGCCACCCATGACCCCCACGATACCCACGACACCCATGACACCTACAACCGCCCATGACACCCATGACCACCCATAGCCACCCAAGACACACACGACCACCCACAACGCCCACAGCCACCCATGGCCACCCACAGCCACCCACGACCACCCTCTGCCCCTGAGCTGCTTCCTGGCCTAGCCCAGACCCCCTCAGAGGGCCTGCTGGGCTGGTACCTGCACCCTCTGGGTCATTTGTGAACTTGGGTGTCGTGTGCCACTTGCTAATGTGCCCCCTGGCATGGAGCACTTCCTCCTGTGAGCTCAGGGGACCCATCTGTCTCTGGACCTTGAGCCACAGGGTGAGGACTGATTCCAGGACAGCTGGGACCACAGTGAGGGCCCAGAGCAGGGTGAAGGTAGAGGGTGACCAGGGGCATGTGCTCTGTCCTTGAAGCTCCTCAGAGGACTGCTGGGGACAGGCGGTGCCCACGGTGTGTCCTGGCCTGCACGGCCACCCCAGGCACAAGCATCATTGAAGCCATGCTCTCATGGGCTCTCTCGCCTAGGCTCACACGTGGGACAGTACTCAGGGGCACGTGTGTCCTGGGAGAGGACACCAGCGTTGGTTTTCCTGAAATGCTCTCCTGCTCAGAAATCACTGTCATTGGGACCAGCAGTTAGCGTAATGGCTATGTTGCTGGACTCCCACGTAGCTGACCGCGGTTCGCGTCCCAGACCCGGTGGCTTAAAACTCACACCGGGCGTGTGTGCGTGCGTGCCCAAGATCCCGAGAGGAGAATGGAGGACAAGGGATTGCGGCATGGCCATCCCCCCTGGGGGGTGATTTCTCGCTTTCTGTCTCTCTGTCTCTCTCTGTCTTTCTGGCGAGTGCATGCGCCCTACAGCGAAAACCTCTCCCAAAAAAAAACGAAAGAAAGCAACCTCTGTCGTTGATTCTGGCCATCGCAGGGTCCATCCTGGTGGGAGAAGGACAGCAGACGAGGCGCCTGGCAGCCCCTTAGCCCGGCAGTCTCTTCCTCGTCCCCCACCGCCCACGAGGGCGATCACCGGCAGAAAGCGCCTCCAGCCAGGGTAGGCCAGGCCCTGGGCAGTGAGCACCAGGCAGCAGGACCACCGAGCAAGGTCGGCCATGGCTTCTGGGACAGGTCACATGTTTGGGTCTTTGGTTTTTTTTTTGAGAGAGAGATTTTTGCTATAGGGTGCATGCGCTCACCAGAGAGACAGCGAGACATCACTGCCCTGGGGGCATGGCCACACCGCAGTCCCTTCTCCATTCTCCTCTCGGGATCTTGGGCACGCACGCACACGCGCCTGGTGTGTTTTAAACCGCCAGGTCTGGGACTCGCACTGCGGTCGACTACACAGGAGTCCAGCGGTGTAAGCATTATGCCACCTGCTGGCCCCCACACGTTTCTTAATGAGGGCGGGGTGTCCTCTGGAAGGTGTCAGTCAGCCGCTCAGCCCATCACGCTGTCCCACTGCACGTGCCTTTTGAGTCACATAATTCTTTGCAGAGAGCCGTGAAAGCAAGAAGGCTTTTCCAGAGGGGCCCACGAAGCGAGTGGGGCTGGGCATGGGCCCAGCTTCAAGAAGGCACCCGACTTTGACAGAAGGGGTGGCCCTGCCGCGAGCACTGTGCTGTCTCTCTTTCTTTCTTTTTCATATTTCTTTTGGCCACAGGGCATGTGTACTCACTAGAGAGAGGCAGAAACAGGGAGAGTGAGAAATCACCTTCACCCCAGAGGATGGCCACGCCATAATCCCTTCTCCCCCATTCTCCTCTTGGATTTCGGGCACACTTGCACACGCACCAGGCGTGATCTTCAAGCTGCCAGATTTAGGACTCGAACCACTGAGTCATGTAGGATTAAGCGCCTTAGCCACCACCCTGCCCTCCCCCCCTTTTAAAAATAATTTGCTCTAGGGCACATGTGCTTGCCCAGGAGAGACAGAGACGGAGGAAAAATGAGAAATCAGACCCCCAGGGTGTGAGTGTGTGTGTGTGTGTGTCCGTGCCTCAATCCCTTCTCCATCTGTCCCTGCTTTGGGGATTTTGAGCACACACACACGCACACACTCCCGGTGCGTTTTTCAAGCCGTGTCCACGACAAACCACACAGTCAGCCGTGTGTTATCCAGCCTCCCTAACCAGCTCCCGCCTGGCTGGCTCATCCCGTCCTCGCCGGACGTGCAGGTCACAGCGCTGGCTGACAGGAGACCCATTCCCGTTCACAGGTAAACTGTCCCTGGAGGAGTTCATCAAAGGTGCCAAGAGCGACCCCTCCATCGTCCGGCTGCTGCAGTGCGACCCCAGCAGCGCCAGCCAGTTCTGAGATCACGGGCCTCTGGACAGTTGCAGAGAAACACAGGCGTGGCGCGCCGTCTAAGCTTTGCTTGCGAAAGTGGATGCTCTGCAGTCATTCCTGCCCTGCTGCGACCGGGCCCAGGAGACGCGTCACACCTGCCCGGCCGGCGGCTGCACTTCCCTCAGCCCGATCAGTGCGATGTTCCTCCCCCCTCCCTGCCCGGTCCCTTCCAGGGCCACCCCCAGGGACGTGATTCCACTTAGGATTCAAGTGTTCTGGGCCCAGGGCACCTCCCCACCCACAGGGAGCCCAGGGGACAAACCGAGGTTACCAGGCAGGGCTTTCCAGCTAATTTACTGAGTGATCCCAGGTGACGCTGAGAAAGGTGGGGACGAGGACGGAGGGAGAGTAGGCAGGCAAGCCCTTCCCGAGCATGGCTTCCCCCCTCCACTTCTCTGACCAAAGCCGCTTGCACGTACACCCCGTGTCCCCGTTCTTTTACTATATAAATTATACGTATGGTGAAGTGACACGTAACGTGTAGGTCCCGTATTTAACGCCTCTGATTGCCTTTGAAGCGTGGTCCCCGTGGCCTGTGATCCCTCCGAGCCTGGTGGTTTTGTGGTCTCTATGCGCCTCGATATGCCCGTTCCCAAAGGACATGCATGCGTGCCCAGGGCCGCGGAGCCCCCGCGTCCGTGTAGCCACCCCGGCGTCCGTGCGCGGTCTGTCCTGTTGATTGGTCTGCCATTTCCGGTATTAAAATGATCAAATAAAAGGAATTCTCTGAGTTTTGTGTTGGCCCGGGGGCATCCCGTTCATGGGCCGTGGCCCTCTCCCCCCTGTAGGGAGGGTGGTCTCCCTGGAGCCCAGCTGCTGTGGGGACACTCCACCGCCCCGCCACCCCGGGTCCCTCCAGCTGTCGGTGTCTGCAAACCTCCTTAGCCTGTTTCTCAATATCTGCCTGATGCCAAGAAATACTCCCAGAAATAAAAGATGACTGTTCCTGGCAGGCCCGACTGTCACGCTTCTGCCTCCTCCCTTCTTCCTGCCCCTTCCTCCTCCCGCGGTTACTGAGCGAGGCCGCAGGAAAGCTACATTCCGAGGGGCCCAGCGAGACCAGGGTGTTGGTGCCGGCCGCGAGGCGGACAGGCCTGGTTTATCACCTGCCGTCTCCGGCGGCAAAGCAACGGCTGGGGTTTATCACCTGCCGTCTCCGGCGGCTTAGCACCGGCTGGAGGCTTTGCCAGTGACACCGAGGACCGAGTTCCTCCCCCACTGCCTCCAGCCTCAAGCATGTCCTCCGGGGTCCCCACAACCACGCTGGTCCTGGGCAGACTCAGGGCTCCTGGAGCAGGGAGACGCGGACCTGACCTGAACTCTCCACCTCCCCCTCCTCCACCAGCCTCACGTCTCATCAGCTGAAACCATGACCACGTCTACACCCAGGGCAGTGTGCCAGCAAGGGACGCGAGGTGACCATGAGGTCATGGCTGGCCTCGACAGACCAAGGTGAGCCCTTGGGCTGAGGGGCATCCGTCTCCTAAGGGTTTGGGGCTCGGAAGGGGCTCCCGGAGCCAGGGTTATCGGAAAGACGGGCACAGTTGCCTCGGCCGAGCTGCCCACGGGCCTCAGGGCGTCTCAGTGCCTCGGAATCTTCACCCAGGTCACGTGGCTCGGACCCCGCTTCACAGCACCTTCAGCAAAGACAGCTATTTTCTTGATATTAGTCATTTTAACATCTCTTTAAGACTGCATGCTTCCTTTTATTATTTTTATTTTCTGTAAGAGATTTTTACTATAGGGCATGTGTGCTCGCCAGAGAGACAGAGAGTGAGAGAGAGAAGATGAGAAATCATCCCCCAGGGGGGATGGCCACACCACAATCCCTTCTCTATTCTCCTCTCAAGCTCTTGGGCATGCACACACACATGCACACCATAAAATTCAAGCCACCGGGTCAGGACTCAAACTGGGGATGAATACGTGGGAGTCCAGCGACATGACCATTATGCTATCTACTGGTCCCCTGAATGCCTCTTTTAATAGGAACGAGTCTAGGGGCCAGCAGTTAGTGTAATGGCTATGTCGCTGGACTCCCATGTAGTCAACCGCAGTTCGAGTCCTGGACCCTGTGGCTTAAACTCATGCCGGGTGCGTGTGTGTGCGTGCTCAAGATCCCGAGAGGAGAATGGAGGAGAAGAGATTGTGGTATGGCCATTCCCCTGGGGGGTGATTTCTTGCTTTCTGTCTCTCTATCTCTTTCTGTCTGTCTGGCGAGCGCACGTGCCCTGTAGCAAAAATCTCTCCAAAAATGAAAAAATAGGAACGAGTCTACTGAATGCCTCCCTACTGGGCAGTATGGCCGGGAGCTGTTTCCTTGGAAACACCCTGCAGCTCAGCTTGGAGCCTTGGCGGGATGGGAAAGCCAGGTGGGCTGGGAAGGTGAGGCCAGTGGTCCAGGAGCAGGTTCCATTGGCTACAAGAGGGCAGGGAAGTCCCTCTGGCTACTCCGCTGGACCTGGAGGCCTAAAGGGGTTGCCATAGGGGCTTGAATTTTACAAAAGTGTAAAATTGTCAAGGGCTGGATGGCAGGGCTTGTTGTAGGAGGGTGGCAGTTAGGGTAAGAACAGAGTACAGGGGACACAGAGTGAGTGACCACTGCACTAGTCAGGTTCTCGAGAGACACAGACCCAGCAGGAGTGGGTAGATGGAAGACAGGTAGATAGGTACGGGTCGTTCAATGATGCAGGTATGGTAATAGAGAGATGTGTGGGTGATGTAGATAGGGTAATACAGAGAGATGGATGGACGATGTAGATAGGGTAATAGATGGATGGATGATGTAGATAGGGTAATAGATGGATGGATGGATGATGTAGATAGGGTAATAGACGGATGGACGATGTAGATAGGGGAATAGATGGATGGATGATGTAGATAGGGTAATGGATGGATGGATGATGTAGATAGGGTAATAGAGAGAGAGATGGACGGATGATGTAGATAGGGTAATAGATGGATGGATGATGTAGATAGGATAATGGATGGATGATGTAGATAGGGTAATAGAGAGAGAGATGGATGGATGATGTAGATAGGGTAACAGAGAGATGGATGATGTAGATAGGGTAATAGAGAGAGAGATGGATGGATGATGTAGATAGGGTAACAGAGAGATGGATGATGTAGATAGGGTAATAGAGAGAGAGAGAGATGGATGGATGATGTAGATAGGGTAATGGATGGATGGACGATGTAGATAGGGTAACAGAGAGAGATGGATGATGTAGATAGGGTAATGGATGGATGGATGATGTAGATAGGGTAATAGAGATGGATGATGTAGATAGGGTAATAGAGAGATGAATGATGTAGATAGGGTAATAGAGAGATGGATGGATGATGTAGATAGGGGAATGGATGGGTGGATTGACAGACGAGTAGACAGACAGATGGTCTAGATATATGAGTAGGTACAGGGATGGATGGATGGAGAGAGACTGATAGAAGACGGATGAGTAGATAGGTGTCAGAGATAGAGCAGTGGCTACAGAAATAACTGGAGAACAGACAGATGCGAGGCAGAGGAGGGACAGACAATCTGTCAGGAGTTGGCTTGTGCCCTCGGCTCGTGCCCTCGGAGTTGGAGTGCTCCCACGGTCTGCACTCCAGAAAGGGAGGCCCGGAGAGCCAACAGTTCTGGTCGAGTCTGCAGGCAGAAAGCCACGTCCCGGCATGGACTGTCAGGCCAGCTGCCAATTCTGTTTCAGTCTTTTGCTGCACACAGGCCTCGGTGGGTCATTTGAGGCCTGCGCCAGGGAGGGCGCACTGTCACTCACTCCAAAGTTCACGTGCAGGTCTCATCCAGACCCTCACAGACACTCCCAGTGGCGTCGGGTCGGTGGTGAGCCCGACTGCCCAGGACCCACCATTGAAGCCACCTCTGCCCAGGGTGGGAGGCGTGGTGCTGGGTGCCTGGCAGGTTCTGGCGATCCCAACACCAAGAAGCCCTGGTTGTGGAGAGAAGCAGGACCTGGCCCAGAAGTAACCTTCCTCTGTCTCAGAGCCCCCCAGCCCTCCAGGGCGGCTGTCGGGGGCGCCTCCTGTCCTGCCTGGTAGTTGGCAACACCGGCCTGGGTCACCCTTCTCGGTGCCCCATCTTCCTCCAGGTTTCTCTCTGTCTGGGTTCTCCTTGCCTGGGAGATCCCAGACCCTCTGTCATTCTGTGGGGGCCCCGTGAGCTGGCTGAAGTTCCCTGGGAGTTGCAGGTGCACCTGACCCTCCAGATGCAGACCTACACATGCTGTGAGGCCTACGCAGGAAGTGGCTTGGGTCTTGTCTGCATGCTCTGAGCGCCCCCAGGATGTGGGGGCGTCCTGCCATGAAAGCACAAGATCCCGTAGTGCCCAGGAGGCTGCTCTAGGGATGGGCTCAGTCCCTCTCCCTTCGGGGCACTGACCCCTTGACCCCAGCATGCTCCTTGGGTCCTTCCCACTGAGACCCTGTAGTGTGGAGGGAGGTGGCAGAGCAGGTGTGGGGCCCAGGACCATAGCCTGACCACTCCCAGGAAGGCAGGGCTGTCACCTCCCTTACTCTGAACTGTGTCTTTACTAATGCGACCTCTGGCTTTCTCGGTCAGGGTGGTCTGGTCCCTCTGAGGAATCAGTGTTGAGCTGACTCAGTTGGCTTTCAGGACTGAGGGCTCCCCAGACACGGTTGAGGCCCTCCGCTGTGCCCTCTGGTTCAGCCCCAGTCCTGCCCGTCTCCGGGCCACAGTGCGCGGACTGACAGAGCTGGGGGCGGGGGGTAGTTAGCAACTCGCCCCATACACTAACAAGGTGGCAGAATCAGGATGGGCAGAGGGGCCCTGGCCTAGAGGCCTCTCCTCCTGATGAGGGGACAGCCCTGGAGGGCTGAACTGGGTCCGGGCCACCAGTTTCTTTGACAGCCTCTGTAGCTGGGCCTGAGCCCCGGGGCCAGTCGAGCGCCACTCTGGCTCCACCAGCACCCTCCTTGGTGAGGAACGGGTCTCACCCACCCCCGCCGCCGCCTGCCGGGCACCCTTCGGTGCCGGCTGGGGGCAGCCTCGGCCGGGCCAGACCTGAAGGGCTGTCACCTCCTGGCTCCACGGGACGGCGGCCTCTGGCAAGCTGGCCACCAGGGAGGGTGAGCTTTGGCGGGTGGCCCCATGCCCACCCCCTGCAGGCCATGGCTGCCCCCTCCCGCCCAAGCAGTGCCTCGTGTCCTACCCGGGGCTCCTCAGTCTTCCGAGGACCCAGCCATCAGCTCCGGCTGCATGTGTGGACTGGACCCTGCGGGAGGGGTGCCACGCCAGCAGCCAGCGCCCAGAGCCTGTCAGCCGGGAGTCAGACCTGGCCAGGTCCTCCGCCCCACTGTGTGTCCCCGTGTCTGTGTGCGAGAACATGTGTGATGGCGTGTGTGTGTGATCTGGGGTGTGCATGCTGTCATGTATGCTGTGAGCTGGGGGGGTATGTAGTGTGAAGTGACCGTGTGCATGTCTGTGGTGTGCGGTATGTATGCACATGGTGGTGTATGTCGTGAGGTGTGTGTGGGGGATGGAGCTGAGGGAAGGCCGGGCCGTGCTCTGTACGTGTGTGCTATGGTGTGTGGTGTGTCTGGGATGTGCACAAGGTGGTGCTGTGTGCTGGGTGTGTTAAGGAGGCCCGGGCCGTGCTGTGCGTGTGTGCCGTGGTGTGTGGCGTGTCGGGGATGTGCACGCAGGGGGTGTTGTGTGCTGTGCAGATGGGGCTCTGT